ACCCGTGGGTGGCCTCAGCGCCAAAGCGAACCGAACCGATCGCGAGCGGGAACCGCGCTTCGGCGGACCGAAGTGCGACGTGACCAACAGGCCCTACCAAGTGAGGTTTTTGGATGTTTTTGTGACCGGAACCATAGGACCTGTCACCTGGGGTACTCGTACCTATGGGATAGTCTATAGTAGGGTTCTTCAACCTCTGTTGGTAGGGATTGGTTTCGAAGGCTCCGGCCACTTCGGAGGGTCCATTTCATGGGTCGCGTTTGGGGGCGATGAAGAACTGCGACCAACGCAGGACGATCAAGCTACTTCGAAGGACCCATCTACGTGTAAAAAAGGATCACAAGGATCTTTTTTTCCCAAGAAGAGGTACAGTTACAATGGACACCAGGGTCATTAAAACACAAAACAAACTAAGATTCAGTTTTAAGGAATGCTACATAACAGGAATGAAGTTAAGTCATTTGCACAACTAACCTGTGCAACCTTGAACACGACCTTGAAGATACAAATAGCTTTGAACAGGGCTTGGTCACTTGACAAACATGACAACTGCCTCAAGGACCTGAAAGAAGCAACACCTTTCGTAGAACAAATCTATAGTTTGTATGACAACGACAACTGTATTTTCGTGAACAAGACCTATTCCAATTGTGTGCACGTTGTTCGGTTGACTTCAGTTGTTGTGTTGTTGTTTCTCAGTAGTTCTAGTTGTTGTTCTATTTCTGTGTTTATTGGGATTGCATCTTTTTCGGTGCAAAACAGAGCAGCCCAATGATATAAGTGTCGCGCATATAGTGGCCTTGCACAAGACGCTTCATACTTCCGGCCTAAGACTTCGACGCTACGCTTCCTACGCTTCCACTTCTAGGCTACGCTTCCTACTTCCTGCTTTGCTTTCTACACTTCGCTTCCTATGCGTTTGATTATCATAATAGACTCATTGTACTTCGTCAAACCATGGTCAAGGAATCAAAGAACATCCAGAAATCCGCGCGGCCCGTTGGTGATGCGGTACGTGGAATCGCAGATTCCTTGGTCCGTGCCAAACAAACGACCTTGGTGCTCTGCCAGATGGCAAGAAGGGCTGAAAGAGTAGAGAACAAAGGGCCACATGCGATCCCAACACAAATTAAACATGTTTTGAGATTTCTTTGAAACGCTTACAGCGCCGCTGACATGTTCAAGACGACCAAGAACAGCTTGTGCTGTTCGCGCGTCATAAGGGTCGGGAACGTTTGGCTAGTGTTTGTGGCTGAATGGTCAACACAATCAACAATCCCTAGGGATCCAGTCGTATCTTCTCAGCAGGTGATGTGTTCGACACCGCTATGTAGGTGCCAGGAGGGTCCAATCACCTGCTGAGAAGGTACGACTGGATCCCTAGGGAATGTTTACCAGTTTCCTTGCACCTCCCACTCCAAAGAATTCGCCCCAGGTTCCTGTGAAGGCCAAGGCCCGCGCAGCCAAGCGAAAGGCCCGCGAGTAATTCCGACCTGGGTCGTTTTTTGATGTTTTTTGTATCCCTAGGGCTCCAAGTACCTTCTAAGAAGGTGGGACTGGGGTGGGTTTAGAGGGTCCAGTCATACCGTACCTGAGGAGGTACGACTGGAGCCCTACGGTATATTGCTGTGAGATGGATGTTTGATGAGCTTGATAGTTGATTGATTGGGGTGATGTTGCCAATCATTGGGTGCTGTGAGATGGAGTTAAGATGACGTCAATGCTTTGCGTGACGACCCTTGGTGGCTCAAGACAGGAAGAATGGGGTTCATAAGGAAAAGACTCTTCCCAGACACTCCATGCGAGCAAAATCTGGCCTAGACTTGATGGTTTTTGGTGATGAAGGTCATGTAGGCCATGTTTGCTGACCCATGTATACCGTTTGGGCTTGGTTCCTTTCCCAGGTCCGTGTTCTTCATGGTTCGATTTGTCCTCAGGGGTGAGCGCGCTCTCGGCGCGTGCGCTCTGGCTTTTCCCGGGCCAGGAAGACTTCGGCGGCTTGGATCTTTTCCCCAATATTGAACATGAGATATCGAGCTGAAGGTCACAGAGAAGCCGATCATGTTCGCAGATCATGCCTCGTTGACCTTCCATTCCAACCCAGTTCCAGCCTCACTTCCCCATCAAACTCTCAATCAAAAACACTTCGCCCTTCCAGAGAGAGGTAGGTGTCCACAGCCATCCCAGGTCGCACATCCAATATACCATATACCAGGATCTTCAAACTGAACTTGTCACCAGGAAACACAGGGTCCCAGGGTCCTGTCTCTCGGATTCTCAACCGACCCTGCAAGATTAAGGGATTAATTAGGGGACTCTCCAAGGTCGGTAATTGCATGGTCTCTCAACCTCTCGGAGGCCATCGCTAGTAGGTTGGAGGCCATCGCTAGTGGGTTGGAGGCCATTTGCTAAAGTTCCGGTCTCTCAACCTTCTCTGACCGCCACCGCGCCACCACTCCCTCCAGGCCGAGGCCGACCTCGGCGACGCGCTGCCCGCGTCGCCGGCGCCGGGGTCGCCGCCGCCGACGACGAGCGCCGCGGCGTTGGACGAGAGTCCCTCACCGGTGCGTGCCTCAATTCCGGACATGCCTGGGGGGGGCTGGAGAAGTGGGACATGGCTGGAGAAGTGGCACGTTTGGTGTGGGCCGATGTGGTTTTGCCAAGGCCAAGAGGGCGAGTTCGGGGGTGACGGGGTCGCTGGTCGGTCAGGAATGTCTGGAAGGATCAGGCAGGAGGTGAGTGGTGCACAATTTGCGGGATTCTGTCATAGAACTGTGTGCCAGGATCAACCTGTCTGGGTGTCCCATATAGACTACCCGTGATTACCCTACCCTAATACTACCCTTTCATTCCTTTTGGTCTCCAGGTGGAAAAACCTTTAGCTGAAGCCTCCATACCCATGGACTGCCACATGTGAGTGTCGGGTTGACACGTACGCTTGGACCGTGAAGGGGTCCTTGGAGCCTTTGGGACTGATGGTATCTGATGGTTGTTTTATGATGTGTTCTGTTCTTTCTTAAAAACATTAATTAAACACCCATATTAAAACTGAGGTCCAATGAGCCATTTTGAGATCCGCAAATCCCAATGTGCAGGGGCACTCTTCCAAAACTGCAGTTTTTTTTTCATGTGTTCATTCATGTTGTTCTTTTCACCGTTATGTCTTTGCCAGAAGAGATTGAACAGATCTTTGAAGCTTCCGAGGTTTGTTGAGGTATCAAGTTATCAAGTATAATAGAACCAATATCAATCTCAAACCAACCCACAAACATCCACAATCCCCCCTTTCGCTTCCGCTTCCCACTCGCAATCGGGTTTCACTTCCAGAACCGGAAAAAAACAGCAGCTCTGCAGCCGAAAAAACATGGGTCGATCTGCCACATACCTCTCGTTTTTGCTCACATTTCTGGGCCACTCGACTGCCACGTCGTGCGAAACGACCCGTGCGTTTCACGCCCTCCGCCAGGGCAAGAAACCAGGCTTTCGAAGGCGACACGAGTTCCGCGCCGTTCCGTTTGGAGCACAGCGCAGCTGTGGCGCAGGGTGTCGGTGTTAGTAGAGTAGAACCCGTGCACTGGAAATGGTATTTGCTTGTAGACATACTCTCCGCACCACTCCACAGTTTTGACATCCACTTGGAAGTTGGGCGAATGTTGTCCAGGTTCTTTGTTAATACAGCACAGGCCTTCTTTGCCCTACTGGCCAGGCGTTTCCCTGGGGGTTGTGTCGGACAAACCCGTTTGGAGCTGCAGGGCAGAATTGATTCAATGTTAGCGGCAGAATCTATCATGCCATGTTAGTGTAAGGGAAATTGCTATTCACGAGGACAAATGCATATGATTTTCAGCTTGAAGATGCCGATCAACCATCACATTGGTAAAGCAGCATTACACTTAACAAACTATGTACAGCTCTACTGGTCGTGGTTCACCAGATAAAATAGTTAAAACCACCATCAAATTAAATTAGAGAACTTGATCCAAATAAACGAGTTCCACATATACCATCTACGGTACGCCATCTCCACGCTGACATCTCTACGCGACCCCTCCGCCTGCGCCTGGCTGTGGCCGTCACTGCACGACAGCGTCCGCCAGGGGTGTCAAGGTGCGGATCATGTCGAACGGCGACTGCCGTGGACTGCGCCTTGGGCGGTGGAACGTGGCCGCGCGTGGCGAGTGCGACGTCCGCGCGCCACGTCCGTGCGCCGTGCGACGTCGACCGTCGCGGCGGGGACGGGTCCGGCGGGAACGTCATGTCAGCGAGTGGATGGAGTGGCCACAAGAGCCGTGGGCACGGCACATGTCTTGGGCGGATTGGGAGGCATGGCGGTGGTGTCAGGTAGCAGCAGAAGCGAGTTGCGCAGAACATTGAGTCGTTCTTCAAACAATGGAAAGACGAGGACATTGGGAGCATGATTCTGCCAGAACGTGTACAGATGAGCACAACTGAGAGCCTGTTCAACAGGGTCCACCTGGTCCCCTCTCTGTGACGCATCCCTTTCTGGGGCTCCTACGTGGAGTGTTGAGGCAGCTCTTCAATTTTCATCTTTGGATTTGTCTCTTAGTGCCCAACCCTGAGCAGTCTGAAACTTCTTCACCAAAAACGACGGATATCGAAGGATCTTCATCGTCACTATTTACTTTCATCCATCCACTGAAGTAGCCATCAATTGGTTGTCACATCTAGTTGAACCATTTATTTCCCTTCTCCATTTAGCCACTCAGAGTGGAGCCCCACCTATAAGGTCGACCCCAACTCCGCCCGCCCCCACACCACTCCGGGAAAACCACTCGTCCCGGACCGAGGACCGGTGGCCTGGGCGACTACGACGAAGCTAACGATCGGTGGGAGGCGCTACTCGGTATGGGGGGGGGAAGGGCGGAGGAAAGGCACGAGGAAAGGGAAAAGGAAGGGAAAAAGAGGAGGAGGAGGAGGTGTTCTTCTGGAGGAGGTGTGTTCTTCTTGTCAAAGTATAGAGAGATGTTTTTCTTTTTCTCATGGTGGTTCACTGGGAGTATGAAGGTGTTTGGATTCTGAGACAGGCTCCCGATGCAGACCCTGACTACGTCAAGGACCGAAGGTGTTGGCCCTTTGGAAGAACGTGTGCCACGTAGTGCCACCATGCTCGTTTGGGAAGTACTTCGATTTTGGGATTCCGGCCTAGTATTCTGAGTCGAGCTGAGTTGGGATTCCGGCCGATAAAAGGAATGGGTATTCTGAGTCGAGCTGAGAATGATCCTGAATGTGGGTGATCTTCCAGGACACCCGGAGCCAGCGGTTTAACATTGACAGCTCCTTCGTTCGTCCTCAGATCGGACCCGAATCCTCGGATCGGACCGTCCGGGTTCCCCGAACCAAACGGTTTGGAGGGACCAGGAAAGGGCTGTGAACTCACGGAGCGTTTGGGTCAATCACTGATATTATATACTATATATTATACATATATGGATCGTTTATCATCGTTTGGGCTGGGGAGTCTACCACATCCTTCAACCCAAGTGGCGCCGGAGCAGCCGCTTTGCGACCGCGAGGTCTCGGGAGAGTTCGGTACCAAGTGGCTGGGGGAGCTCAGCCGGTGGTGGTTCGAAGGTGCTGGTCGTGGGCTGAAGCGACCTGTCGACCTGTCGACGTTGACGGATCGCAGGGCAGGACCGATGAAGGTCGTGGCCAAAACAGGGGTTTGGACATGTGCTCTTCGGAACCCATACCAAACAGGGATGAATTTAAGATGTTTTAAGTCAACTTTTACGTACCCCCAACATGTAACAGCTTCTTCATTTGTACAGTCATGTCAAACGATTCACAAGATGTCACAAACGTGTACATCCAACCGTCACACTTTGGCTCGTGAAGCCCGCACGGACGCCATTTTTGGTGGATGGCTGGTCAGCAGCTTGCAGGAGTTGACAAGGCTGTGGTCAACTTGGCAGTGAAGGTTGCCAAGGACGATGTGAGAGTACGAAAAGCAGAAAGATCGCAAAAGACACAGCCCTTCTCTATTGCGCAAAAAGATTTGTGGGCAAAATTTGTCAATGTTGTTCTATAGGGCGATGCTATTCTTCATTGGGCTACTCCCTTTGTGCAACTGATTTGTAATTAATTTCTGATAGTCTTAAATTGAGGACTTGATAAAGAGGTGACACTCAGAGGGTTTCGGAAAAGCAGAAAGAACGCAAAGAAGCAATGCTTTTCTGTTGCCAAAAAAAAGCATTGCCGTGCAAATATCGCGGGGGTACTATTCGCAGCTCTTCTGAGGGTGCTATTGTTAAAGATTTGGGTTTCACTGGGCAGCACTTTGTGTGATTTGCAATTCTCGGATTTGACAAAGAGCTGACGCTCAAGGGTTGTGGAACCCGGACAGTTTTGGAGCTAGGAAAGCGTGCAAGAAAAGAACAGCAGGAGGATTGTAAAGAAACAGAAAACTGCTCTAAGCAAAGGCATTCTTCCAGGAGATGTGCTAAGGCCGAGTGCCCAGGGCTGAATTTAAAACAAAACAGGCTACCACCAGCGTGCGCAAAACAGTGTCTTTGTGAGCATTTGCCTACAATCAATACAATTCATAAAACCAAAAATACACAAAAGTTCAGACCTACGTCTCCTGTCCAGCCTCTCCTGGGTATCTCTCCATGGGTCTGAACTTTTTTTTTGTTTTTTTGGTTTTGGCTGGTCTGCCCACAACTTTCAAAACCCCCACCCCCATGACTACCTGCTCTCTTAATTTTATTGCATCTTTGTATTGTTCCTCCTATGCTATATTTTCTACTGTATTGAATATAAATGAATCCCTTAAAACAGCGCACGCTCAAGTGGCCAGCTCTCATTTAAAAGGACATCAGCACTTAGAAAGGTCCAGGACCTGGGATCTTTCTGGACCGAGGGTGTATGGACCTTCTCGCTGAGGATCGAGCAATCGTCCCTGGCGTTGGGGAAACCCAGGCTGCGGCGAAGGCCCTCAGCGAAGGGAAGGCCCTCGCTTGGCGCGAAGAAGACTATGACTCGATGCCCATCCCTGTATGGCCTATTTATAAAATGGATACACTCCGGAGTCAACTCACATAGACCTTGACGTCCTGGTCCCATGGAAGACCTATTTTCCTCTACCAACCAGGGGTTTTCAGGTTCCATGTGGATCGTCTTCCAGGGTGTAACTGGGTTTTGTAGTGTAAAATCCATCCGAGTGGATCCCAGTTACATAGAAATCAGGGTGTCCAAGTCTGTGGCTTTTGTGCTGGAGACCAGCAACAATGGTAACCCCGAGCTTAGTAAAGCAATGGTTTGTTCGGTCAACGGCACATATAAGTAACTCGGGGGTTGGAAGCGTATATAGGGAAGAAAGCAGGAGGGTCCGGGCTCACTTCCGAACTGCAGAAAACACTTCCTACTCATTCCCAACCATTCCACATTCGGAGTATGACAGTGGTTTAGTCATAGCGGGGCTCCCTGGAATGGTGTTTTCGAACACCAGGAAACCCTTTCCTCAATAGAAGGCACCGGAAGATGAAGTAGAATAGGAGCGACAAGACGGGCGCCGAACTTGGAGCAAGTCGGGGTGTGCCCCCAAAACCCAACAAGAACCTGACCTGTGACTCCTGGCCAATTTGAGACCCCTCCTATCCCCGACCTTGGATCTCGGGACCAATTCCTCCAGCATGCCTCGGGTCCCAGGTTCTTCGTCGCCAAGAGACCCTGAGCCGCGCCGTTCGCCGTCGTTTCGCCTCGCGGAGTCGTGGAGAGCTCGGGAGAGAGCGCTCGGCAGCCGACGCTTCGTTCGAGCGTGACAACGTGGTAGCGTGCTGTGTGGAGCAATGAACATCGTGATTTTATACTACACCGTATAGACCCTATCATATTTATTTTGGTATGTAGTATGTGAAATGCATGAAACTGCATGTTGATTCACCGCGCTTGAAATGAGAAGCATGTTTGATTGGGCAAGATGGACACAGAGAAGCCCCCATCGAGACTGGGACGGCCTGGTGTGGTCGAGACCAGGTCGTGTGCCAGGTGGTTGATGGTTGATGGTGTGTTGGTTGAAGCAACAGAATGTAGACGGTGGATGATCTTTCACGCCTTCAGTTCGGGGTCACCTGGCTGGTTTCGCCCCAGCCCACTACTACTATCCGGGACCTCCAGCCAGGACACCCCGAAAGAAGGTCCAGGAGGGGTTGTACATGGTTTTAGCATCCAAATGGGGAGGGGGTGTTGATCAACATGATCTGGCCATCTAGCCTGGCCCGCGAACAGGATGCCCGGTGAACAGGCAGTGTTGTCGAACAGGTCCTAATCGGTCTCCCGGCATTTCAGCCCATAGCGACCTGTCAACCAAATGGATGCCCTAGAGATCCCGTCGTACCGAACCTCAGGTACGGTGATTGGAAACACTGTTATGTAGGGTCCAGTCGTACCGAACCTGAGAGAGTACGACTGGATCCCTAGGGATTCAACGACATTCGGCACCACTGAAGGAAGTTCCCACATTCGTAGAGGACTTGTGGCTCATCTAGAGATCTATCTTTGAAACAGTCTTGGACTTCCAATGGGCTTTAACACGCTTGGCATTTTGCAGCCAATGGCTCCTGGGACGAAGCCAGGGGATCTTTGCTCGAAACCCTATGACCAAGCGCAGTAGCGATAGCCTGTTCGAAAGACAGAGCATTCCAAAGACGGCTCCCTTCAGACGATGGAACCATATAGAAATGTAACATGGTACCAGACCTCATGTGTTTCTGATCTCAATGTTTTGTTTATGATGGGTTTGTCAAATCATGCTCGAACATGAATGACCCGCCTCATTAGAACATGTAAGGACACAAGAGACGACATATAGTATACTTTTCCTTGGGTTGTCGTGCCCTAGTTTTTAGCTTTTTGGCCAAGCATCATGCAGTAGTTTGATTTAGGGAATCAAAGGACATCTCTAAAGTCTTTCGCCCAAACCAAGATCTCTCTATAACGGGCGAGGTCCGCGCTGAAAGCATAAAATTGAGATGCGAGCCTTAGCGATCTCTTGACTGGTGTTTGTTTTTCTGCTTGTATAGACTAGTCTATGTTTTTGCGCCGTGCTATATAGACTGACTTGAACAAGAGTCAATCTGACATTTACATAGACTTGGAAGGACACATAGCTAAGGGCATGGATTCCAGCCGTGAACTGTAGGCTTGTCGTCAGACACGTTCTTGGCTAAAGGATCATGGTCCAAAGAGTTCAGGCAGTGCCATGCTTGTTTCCCACGTTGCTGCCAGCCTTTTCCGGTGCCTCCGCGCGTAGTTTAACTGTGAAAAGAATGCAGCTTTAGAAGACGGCAAGGCCAAACCTATACGCAAAGCACTCTGATCAGAAAAATCACGACGTCGACCTCGATGGCTGGGAAGAACCACCAGCGTGTGGCGGACAAGGATCCAGAAGTATCGTGTTTTTCGTATTCCTTGGGTCTGTCCTATCACCTGTAACAGTCAGTTTAAAACATATATATTACTACTCCAGAGATGTCAGCCTTTACTAACCTAACCATCATCATCCACTGTTACTGGCAATAGGACAGACCCAAGGTATTCCATTAAAGAGCTGTTCGAATGTGCTGGTATGCGTCATTTGTTGCTAGTATGCATAATCTAAATCATTTGCCATGTTCGATATGTCCGCTGTCGCTCATTCTGTCCGAACTCAGGCAAGCCCTACATGGTCAGAAAATACATACAATTGTTGCTTTTACTATAGGACTCTATGCCTTGTGACTGTCTTCCATGGCCTAGAGGCAACTGGATGACATCCATTCAAACGCTCCTATTTCACAGTCCCTGCTCGGCTATTGAATGTCGTGCAGTTTCTCACTTAGTTTGTAAAGACACAGACAATGAACTCTACAGACTCTACATCTTTACATTGTACATCCATTGCCAACTTGCCTTTAGCACGTTCTTCTGCTGCAATGTAAAATGTCAACACCAGGATTGGGCAGGTCGTCAATTTGACAAGTCTGTTTCAACTGCCTTTGGGGATGTCAATTTACGTGGAGAGCTGAAGCGGTTGGTGGGAGAAATTGTTTTGTCCGTCCCAGCAATAGTGTGTTTGTGTTATTTTGCATGGAAGTGCATGACTTGGATGAGGCAACCGCCCAAACCTGTGAAAAACCTGCACCGTCGTTCCCGCGCACACTGTTTGTGAGCTTGGCCACATGACCTGCTCTTTTACAAGTGCGGTTTGCGCGAGGGGCGAATGTCGTGGATGTCGTTGAGAGGTGTCCAACCTGGTTTTAGGATCTTAAGATACGTATCTCAATGTTTGGGGATGTTTGGGGAACAGAGCAGAGGGCGGAATCCATCAAGTGTTGCTCAGGTACGGTATTGCTTCTCCTATCGAACATGAGAAGCAAACGTGCGCGCACCAAACGTGAGGTTTTCACCGTGTACAACACACGTTGCGCACCTGTACAACACCCTGCACTATACTGATGGATCGACATGACATCCGGATGGTAGGTCCAGGCAGGGGTGGAGCCTTGGGTCGACACCCTTTGAGGCTCATTGGGTGGATTGGAGCTGGCCATGAGAACAGATCGAAAGCCACCCAAATCACCTGCCATTCATCTACTGGCCAGCTCTGACGTAGGATTAGACCGACCTGGCAACTAGCTATTATGTCATTGGGACCCAACAAGTCCTAAGTCATTGGTCCCAACAGCCGCAGTTGGTCCCCAGGAGTGCCCCTTTTTGCAGGAAGAAATGCCTGGCACCTGCCGCGACCTGACTATACGGAGCAGATGGACGTCGTCGGTTCCAACGCCGACCACGCCCCCCCGGACCGGGACTAAAGGTGGAGAGGTTTGGGTGTGAGCTCGGTTGTGGAAAACGGTCGAAGGCGCCGGTCTGGTCTACTTGCTTTGGGGGGGAGCTTGAAAGAAGATCCTAGCTCTTCTCTTTTTGGTTGGTCCCGGATCCACATTCACGACCCTTAATTCGTTCGATCCATCGTCAAGGGACACCAGAGACGTGATCAGACCGATCAGCTGATCAGACATCAGGAGGTGTTGGGGATAGGGGAGCAGCCTGTTCCCGAAAGAATTCCCAAGGTCTCCGAGCAGCGAATCTTTGAAGTGGTGAGGATATGATCAATGAGATATCATACATGCAGTATTTGCAGTATTAATGAGATGCCTCTTGGTCTCAAACAGATGAAAGTAAGATATATGTTGCTCTCAACCGTTAAAAAGGCCAGTGATTTGCTGAATGTCATGCACTGCATGGGTTGTGGTTGTTCCTGGAAGATCCCCTTAAGTTCATTCCATTGCTTATCTCAAGCCTGATCAGATGCTGTAAAAAGGGGTGTGATATAATCACAAAAATCATGGTGACATTACTCTGAATCACTGTTTCAGCAATCTGGAGCCACATCGTGTTTTTGCTTCAACCAGTCAAGCGCTTTCCAACACACCAACGGCCCCAACAAATGAATGTAGGTAAAAATCATTGAAAATCCCTTGAACAGATTCTTTGATGTGTTTGATGTTTTGCAGATTGCGCCCTTGTTTGTTCACAGGTTAGACCCATAGCTATCCACAGATGAATAGATGATTTGACTGGATGTATCCCTCAGACTGATGTGAAGATCGTGGTGCGACTAGCACGCTGCATCTGGCAGCGATAGCGAGCTCGAGGCATTAAAGATGGAGGGCTGGGAGTTGAGATCTGTCAATGGACATCAGGAGTGGAAGATGTTCAGCAGGCAGTTTAGACAGAAGGAAGTCCATCATGTCAAAACTGTAGGGATCTGTATTTCTGCACCCTCCCAGACTATCCACATCTTAAAGTAACCCTGGTGTAGATAAATATTCCACACATGGATTGTTAGGGTGATTATACGACTGTACCGTCATAAACCACCTTCACTTGGGGACACCACTGTTGTTTAGAAGTCCCACTTGGCACCACCGACTAGGCGTCTGTCCGGAAATGCCTGGCCTCGTTTTCCGGGAACTGTCGACCCATTGAGGTGCTTTTCTGTCCGCGTGTCGTTGGGGGCTTCAGTACGCGACCCATACCCGATCCCAGAGATCAGGTCATGAACCGGTTCAGAGGCTCCTGGAGCTTCTTTCGGGGTGTCCTGGCTGGAGGTCCCGGATAGTAGTAGTGGGCTGGGGCGAAACCAGCCAGGTGACCCCGACATGAAGGTGCTGGTATATTCATGTTTGAGTACAAACTGAGGCTCCTGGTACTGAGGTCATTGGGAGGGGCGAGGCCCGCAGATCAAGAATTGAATGGGACCATTTCCACCAGGGGCAAGGGTTGCAGAAGGTTGACCAGCATTTGTTTTTGTTTTTGTTTTAAATAACATGAGCCATTACATATGAGATCATATGAGCCATATTTTTTCGAAAGGGCTGGCTCTTGTGGATTACGTGGATCCTGAGATCAGAGTGTGTCAGAGCCCAAAGATCTGGAATGTCATCCATTTAGCCTATCAACAACCAGGGCCAGGTTTGGCAAGATTCCGCATGCTTGATCATATTGCGTGATCGCGCCGTGCAGCCACTTTGCTTCCGGAGTTGTACCTCACTGGCGATCGAAGCGAAGATGAAACATTGGGACATGATGCTTTGTGATTGAAGGCCCTTGGGTTTGATTTCATGTCTTGGTGTACCTTTGGCCAACCTCAGTGTTGCCTTTAGGGACGTGAAAAGCTTGAACGGAGGGTTGGTTGATATGGTTGATTGATGACTCCACCAAAAGACCCAACACGTGCACAGGCTGCCACTAGTAGTTGCCACTCACCCCCCCTAAAGTGGGCACTCCAAGCACAACCTGAAGATCGGACTTGGAAAAAAACAACATACCAGAGGCAGTCGGCACTCGGCATCTTCGAAGACTCGCTCCATGGGATATAAACGCAGACTCGCCACCACGACCACGTTGCGACAGGTCGGCCGTCAGATCGCCCAGCCCATCGTCCCGTGCTACTCCCCACATTCTCCCCACCAACGGTGCGGCCAACCAGCGCTCCGTTCACTTCGCCGCTCCGCCATGGGGGTTGGAGCCTCAGCGAAGGCGCCGGTTTCGCCGGCGTTTCGGTGCTGACTACTCCGAGAAGACTCACGGCAGTCCTGGTGGCGCGGAGACAGTGACACGGGTGAAGTTGATTTGTTGTTTTCGAAGCAGAGCATTTCTGGCAAAAGTTTGAGAGGGGGCAACTGTTTGCCCAGACATGGGGTTACCCTAGTGGGAAGCATGTCTAGAGACTTTGGTAGGAGAGGTTGACCATGTTTGGTCATCGTTCGTCTCTTCATTTTTCGGTCAACCGCTTAGGGGGGGTGCGTCCAGTGGGCCTCGTGTTCCGGCGCATCGACGTTTGGAGCACCGAGAGAGCATGCGAATCCGTGACACGGGGCGGCTCGTGGGTCGGACCAAGCAGGGAGTTAGATGAAGTCCAGGGGGGCATCACTTCTCCAGGGTGGTGCCTAATAAAGTGATGAGGTTCCCAGAAGATGATCCGTGTCTGATGAGGGTTCTGCAACTCTGGGACCAGGGAGATGCAGGGGTCTGAAATAGGGGATCCCGCTGGTTCTTCCAAGTGAGCCATTCGATAAACCTCCGTCTTCATGTTTAATCAGTGTGTTGTCATATCGAAGAAGTGCGTAAGCAAAACCTGCACGTGCGTAAGGTTGCGTAAGCTTTTGGTAAGGAAACCTTTTGCGTAAGCCATGCGTAAGCTTTGAATAAATACATGATAAATACATGAGCAACCCCTCTCAGAAGTGCTAGGACTAAGGAACAGTCCAACTCCACACATACATACACAATCCAAACTCGAATTGCTGAACATACACAGTCCAAACACCACAGCTGAACAGTCAAACCTCCATGTCAGACATGAGAAACACCAGGTGATTTTTGTGAGTTCCGGCGCGTAAGCCGCGCGTAAGCTCCGCGTAAGCTCCGCGTAAGCTCCTGTGTCCTTTTCCACCAGTAGCCCACATGCCTCCTTCTCCGAAACCGTTGCGTCAGCGGCAGCGTGTGGTTGAAGACCTCTATATACAATGTGGTTTGCGCACATCGCCCTTCCACTTCCACTTCTCCATTTCCTGCTGCTGCTGCTGCAGGTCTGCTGCTGCTACTGCTGCTGGTGCTGCTGCTGCTGCTGCTTGCTTGCTTCTGCCTTCGAGCCTTCTTCTTCGTCCTCATCCTCAAATGCTTCTTCAGCATCCATATCCGAAGATTAGATGTAGTAACGTAGTAAATGTCAATTGTACAAAGTATGCAGCGCGTAAGCTCGCGTTGTGGTGTCAGCTGCATTTCGTGCAAAACAGGCGTCGCGTAAGGTCTGCGTAAGCCCTTCTAGCTCCAAGTGTACCGCGTAAGCAAACATGTGAGTCGCGTAAGGCAGCGTAAGCACAAGCGTAAGCCCAATGATACGGCATGGGATTTCATCAAGGTTTTCAGAAACGCTCAAGTGACCCTTACAAGACATCCCTTAGTGGTGGTCAAAAAGAGGTCCAAAAGTCTTGAAGTTCGGTCACTGCAGAAGCCGGAAGAAGATTCCTTCAAGGGTTTTTGAGATATGATCTCAGCAGCTTTGCCAAACCCCCCAAAACCCTCAAACCCTAAACCACCTAGCACTCCCTGTCTGGGTGCCCAAACTTTGGAGATTTACGTCGTTTTTTGGGGTAGTCGAACGCCAGGACAGGATGACAGGATGATCCTGGCAGGTGGACCATCTAAAACCATCCAACCCCCAAAACCCCAAAACCCTAAGCCAGGTTGACAAGTCCCTAGGGCTCCAAGGACCTTCTAAGAAGGTGTTTGGGTTTAGAGGGTCCAGTCATACCGTACCTGGGGAGGTACTTGGAGGCCCTAGGGAGTCATCCTCCCCCCCCAGTCGTCCTCCTTTCGCGCCCCTCCTCCAGGCTGCAAAGTCCACCTCCACGCCCGCCACACCGCCGGGTCCGGCGGCGGCGGCGCCGTTGCCATCGCCGGTGGGCACGTCCGGTCAGGCAACTGGGAGGTCCAAAACGGGTCAGAAACGACAAGGAACCAGGCACTACCGATTTCGGGTGGTTGGATCAGGACATGATCGGGGATACCGGGAGATGTACTAGCTACCAGGGGCCCCACATGGCCTATCAAAAGCCTGGTTTTCCCTACCAAACAAACTTTTTTTGGTATGTGAAAACCTTTATGTTTCATGGTTTTGAGGGCCCCTGGTATAATTAGGCTATAAAGCTACAAATAAAGTTATTCAATCCGTGTGTGTGTGTGTGTCAACCTCTGTAACTAAGAGTTTTGAATGCAGGGGTTCGAGAGTCAGGAATGGTCAGAAGGTACCAGCAGCTGTGGATTTTAACAACATAAAGAAGAGGACGCAGGAAGTGGAGGTCACTAGATATCACGAAAGCTAGCTGTAGCTAGCTGGAGTCTGTCTTGCTTTAGCAAGGAGGGTGGGAGCCCAGGACTTGAGTGCTATTACCTGATTTATCAGGACTAGACACCCCCCCCCCTCGCGGGGTTCAACTCCACCCTTCTCCTCCTCGGTACCTGCTGCTGCTGCTGCTGCTGCTGCTGCTTGGTCGCTGCTGCTGCTGCTGGCATCTCATCTGCGCCTGGCTCTTGGCTGCTTGCTGGTTGCTGCTGCTTGCTGCTTGCGTGCTTGGTGCTGCTGGATGCTCTTGGCTGCTTGCTGGTTGCTGCTGCTTGCTGCTTGCATGGCTGCCTGCTGCTTGTTGTCTGCTCCGTTTTGCTGCTGTTGCTGTTTGGGGTTGTTGGCTGCTGTTGGTGCTGAAGAAAGCCTTTTCGTTAGAATCGAGAGTAGTTGCATTCCCTCTGAGTTGTGAAACGATGCTAATTTCATTATATCCTTAAGAAGCTTGTACAGGCCCAAGAGTACAAATCAGAATGCACTATCCGCTATCCATGCAGATCA